TTATTTATTTATTTATTTATTTATTTATTTATTTATTTATTTATTTATTTATTTATTTGCCCCACCCGGTCCTCAGCAGCGGCAGCAGACCAGCGTCGGCGTCGTCTTCGACAAAAGGGCTGCAGCAAAAAAAGAAAATTAAATTAAATTAAAAAATTGAATAAATAAATAAAAAATAAATAATTAATTAATTAATTGATTAATTAATTAATTAATAATTAATTAATTAATCAATTAATTATTAATTATTAATTAATTAATTAATTGATTAATTAATCAATTAATCTTGCTAGCTGGCTAGCTAGATAGCCAGTCAGCTAGCTAGCTAAATAGCTAACCAGCTAGCCAGTCAGCTAGCTAGCTAGCAAGCTAGTTAGCAAGCAAGCTAGCTAGCTGGCTAGCTAGCTAGCTAGCCAGTCAGATAGCTGGCTAGCCAGCCATCCATTTATCCATCTAACTGGCCAGCCAGTCAGTTGCTTAATCAGCCAGCTAGCTATCTAACTACTAGCCAGCTAGCTAGCTAGCTAACTAGCTAGCTAGCCAACTGCTGATTAGCTAGCTAGCTACCTAGCTAACTACTAATTATCTAGCTAGCTAACTATTAATTAGCTAGCTAGCTAGCTAGCTAGCTTACTAGCCAGCCAACTACTAATCAGCTAGCTAGCTAGCTAGCTAGCTAGCCAACCACTAATTAGCTACCTAGCTAGCTAGCTAGCTAGCTAGCTAGCCAACTACTAATTAGCTAGCTAGCTAGCTAGCTAGCTAGCTAGCCAACTACTAACTAGCTAGCTAGCTAGCTAGCTAGCTAGCTAGCTAGCTAGCCAGGGGTGAGTCTGACAAGGAGGAGACGTTGACGGCTCGGATGGAAAGGACCCAGTCGTTGTGTTCTTCGCTGTCTATACACCCCAAGTGCAGCGCAGCAGCAGCAGCAACAGCAGCTAAGAAGCAGCAAACGCTGCCTTCTATTGGGTACAAAGGCCGCAGCGCCTGCAGCGCAGCAGCAAACCTTTTATTTCATTTAATTTATTTAATTCATTTAATTCATTTTATTTTATTTTTAATTTATTTTAATTTCAAATTTATTTAAATAAATCTTTCGGCGTTTATTTTGCACAAACTTGCGCAGAGGCACACGCGCAAGTGAGCAACGCAAGCAGCAAACTGCAGCAGCAGCAGCAGCAGCAGCAGCAGCAGCAGCGGCACAGTCACGTAGAGCAGCAGCAGCAGCAGCAGAACAGCCACGTGGAGCGGCAGCAGCAGCGGTTTAGTGATGACGAGAGCAGCTGCTGCAGCAGCAGCTGCAGCAGCAGCTGCTGCAGCAGCAGCTGCTGCAGCAGCAGCTGCAGCAGCAGCTGCAGCAGCAGCAGCAGACCGACCATGGCCAGGAGCATCGCCTGGGGTTTGCCGCAGTGGGAGCCTTTGCTGCTGCTGCCGGCTTCTGCTGCTGCTGCTGCTGCTGCTGCTGCTTCCACTTCTTCTGCTTCTCCGGGCTCCACCAGCAGCAAAAATTGCTCCTCCTGCGCGCACAGCAGCAAATAAAGCAGCAGCAAATAAAGCAGCAGCAAATGAAGCAGCAGCAAATAAAGCAGCAGCAAATAAAGCAGCAGCAAATAAAGCAGCAGCAAATAAAGCAGCAGCAAATGAAGCAGCAGCAAATAAAG